TTTAGTAAACAACAGTATGTGTGTATATATATATATATATATATATATATATATTCATTAATTTAAACTGTACTGGCAAACAAAATGCTTTCCATGAGTAGCTGTGGGAACTTTGGACGTTTTAAAAAGACAAACACACCACCTGTAAGTATTAGAAATATAGCAAAATCTGCTCTTTTTCCACTCTCACTGTTAGATGTGTATTTTTGTTACTTGTTTCTGATATCAATCTTTAGTGTTCCCACTTCGGCTTAACTTCGTTATCACTTCAAATGGTGATTCTTTAGAGTCTGTTAGTTAGTGGAAAATGTTCTCACCAGACTCCCTTTTAATCACATCAGTAATCCAATTGTGTGTGTGTGTGTGTATCTGTCATCTGCAAACAAAACAAAATAACACAAGTTGACAACAAAATTCTCCATGAATTGGATTCTGGGTGATTTGTCTTATTCAACAGAAAGTGCAGTTGTATGACTCGTCTTATGACCAAGTAAATCATAAAAGCTTAAAGAGTAATAACCTTTTTGGTTCCCAGAAAAATGATCTCAAAGTTTAAACCTTGGATGTGTCTTCAGGTCCACTGCTGTACCACTTTGAGAACATGGCCAATGAGCTCTCAGTTGAACTTAGCTACGAAGACATTAGAACAGCCATTGTTAACTTTGGCTTCCACTTAGAGGTAAGCCAATGACTTTACTTCATATTCCTGACTTAACATCATGTTTGTCTTCAGAAAATCTTGTTCCAATTGTAAAACGGTATTTCTATTTCTCCCGCAGGTGGAGAGAGAGTCGGTTCAGACCACCTACACAGAGAACGACCGCTCCATGTTGAGATACATTTACGACTGCGTCTTCTTCGTGGCACGAAAACCTGCAGACCTGTACTTTGACTGCGAGGAAGACGACCAACAACAGAGCTCTCCGCCGGCCGCGAAGTCACCGCGGCGAGAAGGAACCGACAGCCTGACGTGACAGGAAATCCTTCGACTGAAACGGTAAACTTAGAGGACTAAGTGAAGATTAAACTGGCAAAGAAGAAGAAAATGGACCCAGAAGAAGAAAAAAAAAAACCCTATACATTTCCTTTTTGTCATATATTAGTTTTTAAGATGCATCTTGTGGAGAAATGTGCCCGACCCACCAGGTTTCTTTTTTTCCTGGCCAGGTGAAGCGCCTGAATATGACTCAAATTGTAGAATGTAATATGAAATATTGCAGGACTGTATTACACCTGGAATCTCTTCATACCTGGATTTGTGATGATACCTTTTGTTTTAGTGGTTTGTGTGTCAGCTACAAACCAGGAAGAGTAGATTTCTTTTAACCGCGGTCTTACTTAATCTCATCTCCACTGACTTTAACTGCCTGAGAGTGTGTGTATGTGTATGTATGTGTGTGTGTGTGTGTGAGAGAGTGATAGGACAGCGTGATGTGAACTTTTTGCTTTTGAAATGTATTTATTTTTTCAACAATGGTGCCAATAACTATATCTACTCATTTGCATTCGGATCATCAGTCCACACCGAAAATGTAATCAAAACGTGTTTCAGCCTTTCAGGAATAATTTGTTTTAAAATTGACTTTCATCAACTTTTCTTTTTATTGGTTTCTAATCACACTTTGGAATAAAGCCAAACATTTTAACAAATCTTAATCTCCAGAGTTTTACTGTTTTAAGTTTGATAACATTTTAACACCAACAGAACGGCACTAAAGTGCAGCTCAGGGCCAATTTAAGTGTTTGGTTTTTTTTTGGTGCAAGGACTGAAAAAGCGAACATGTTTTGTGTGTGCTTGTTCATCATTTAGGAGGCAGGTTACAGGTGTGATAAGGAGGCTACATGCACCTTAATTCATACTGAACCATAATGGATACATTTCCCTACGTTGGCCAGTCGTAGTAGGAGAATCACACAGGTGAAACCAATAACGTTAATGGCGTAGCACCTCGACTGAAGTGTCACAAACATAAATACAGCCATTATTCACAAGGTTAATTACACCTGTGCTTTTCCTCCTGTAACGCTTGAAAATGAAGGTCTTTTTTTAGAGTTAGAAAGTGATGTAATTCAGTTAAATACATGTATGAATAACTGTTACAACCCAACATGTGTAAATGCTGAAATGTCATTTTGGATCAACATTTATTTCATGATGTGAACTTTTAAATGAAATGTTCAATGTTAGAGGCAAAGTTAGCTTTTGTAAAACGTATATGAGTAACATTTTAATAAATGATATGTTATTTAGCCTAGACTGAATGGTACCTGTGCAATAAGCAGACAACATGACCTGAATTGATACCAGCCCGTCACGTGGCAACACAGAAAGTAGATCATTACAGTCAGGACTGTAGCTGCCTTTGAGACTGAGGTCGTGTCCTTCGTCTTTTTCTTGGTATTACTGCTGCTGAAGCAGTCTGGGGAGAGTAGTGACATCTTGAAATAAAAAATAAAAAAACAGGTACAATAGTGTGTGTTTTATATTTTTTGACTACTTTTGAGCCGAGAAAATGACTCAATATTCCTGCAACAGAATTTTATACCTCGCATTGGGGAGGCTGTCGACCCTCCATCCTCCTCCCTCTGGCCCACGACATGATGTCAAAAATATAATCTGGACTGCAAGATTATTATAATTGTTATTTTCTAGTTGCTTCATATCAATGTCAACTACCTCTTCATAGACACATAAAAGCACAATTCTGTCCCAGCAAATATGTACAATTGCTGTTTGGCTGCGAACAACGAGGATGATATAAAATGATTTTAGTTAAGTATGGAAATATTTTAAGAATATTACACTGTCATACTAAGAGATTATACCAGCAGTGGACCCTAAACCTAGTTGAATTTGAGACCCCTGGTTTAAAATATGTATTTCTATAGTGCCTCTGAATATGATACCATACAGTGCAATATGTGTAAAGATAGCAAATTATAGAGAAATAAAACCAGAAATTACACAGAAAATGGAATATAATAGTAGACTTTCCTTAACGGATGTCTGGTCAACAGTTTCTGAAATGAACTCATTAAATCCAGTCTAAACTCCTAATTACAAAAATCTAGTCTGGATTAAGTTTTTTTTTGTGTCTTTATTAATAAGAAATAAGGTACAATAACAAACTCACTTTGTACCATCTAAAACACATTACCCTTTTTTTTCCCAACATGGATCACATCTCCTACTGTAATATTAATTTTAGTCAACACAATGACAACAGAATAAAATAATAACAACTTTAACAAAAACTGAACAGGGGGATAGAATAAATTATATTAATATAATTATTATAAGTGCACAACGTTTTCTAGCAGGGGCATTTTTAAGCTTTCTTATTTATTTATTTATTTATTTATTTATTTATTAATGTGAACTAATTTGTCAGTGCCTGCCCCACTGGAATTAAATTGGCAAATCAACATTTGTGTATGTAATATTTTGTTAATTTTTTTATATTAATAACAAGAAATTAGTTTATTTTTCAAAAGCCAATAATGCATACAAGTATAAAACTAGGTGCTCTTATTTCTACATTTGTGTTGTTATTTAAATTAAAATGTAAATCTTGTTCTTATGAATTAATTTTAAGGAATACATTTTAATTTACAGTTTTATGTAAATGTATTTCTTTATATGATTATGGTCTGCATGCAGACAGGATGCAGGTGGGCGGGGTTTAACAGCGCTGCTCTCCTCTGATTGGTTACCCGGACGCATCGCAGTAATCTTACTGCTCTCTGTTTCGCGTCTGCACCTGAACGCATCACTGCTCAGCATCAGGTAGCAAAAAGCAGCTAAAGCCACAAAAACCACGTGTTTATTTTGACTTTTGACTCTTTTATTGTAAAGTTTCCGCGCACACAGCTCACATTAATGGCGAAGAGACGCGCAGAGGACACCCTGCTGCACGACTCTCCCTCCAAAAGATGCCACCGCTCGGTCTGCAGTGTTGACATGCAGCTGGGGAGCCTGGCTCCGACCGGGGGTGTGAGCCCGCCGTCCCTGCTCGCTCTGCTGGGCAGCCGCTCCAGGAAGAGGCCGCACTACTTCGAGGAACCGGAGGAGGAAGGAGCAGCTCCGTTCCGCAGGGCCACAAACTGCGACACTAGGAAGCATGCAGCGAGTGTTTTGACGGTGCAGACTTCTTCTGGAAGTTTCCAGGAGCGTCGCAGCTCGAGCGCGGCCACGAGCTCCAAGAAACGGACTCGAGAGGACGGCACGAGCTCGGAGACTGCTGGTCCTAAAGTTAATGATAAAGTAGGTTATTGATTATGTAGGAAAAAAAAGTCACAATGAGGCTGTTCAGAGAAAGTGAGTGGGTGTAATGGTGGTAAATGTCCACTAGATGTCACCCTTTACCCACTTTATAGCTCCTTATACGTCTTATATTGTCAATGTAAAGCTCTTTTTATATATATGATATATATTATATTTATGTATTTATACTATATTGTGAATGTATAATGTATAACTTCCTGTAAAAATCTCTCTATATGGCTCTGATTTAGTTAAAGTTTGGGTGACCAGATGCCTAAAAACCAAATGTGGGACAAAGATTTTGTTTGTGTGGGACATGTTACTAATGCTGAGGGGGTTGTATAACATAAAATGTCTATCTAATAGTAATACACGATAATTATCAGGGCAGATTCATTGTCGGCTGATAATTAAATTACAGCCACATACATTATAATAATTTATTTTGAATTCCTATACAAAACGTCTGATAGGCTTCAAGTTTTATGAAGGCCAAAGTATGTTTTTTTTTTTTT